GGGTCCGGGACATGAACCGCGGTCAACTACGTGGGAATCCAGCGACATAGCCATTATGCTAACTGCTGGTTCCCGACAATATAACTCTCTTAATTCATACCACAAGGAATCCATAAATTCATCTGACCCTTTCTGGGGGCTCACTATAACAAATTATTCTTTTTTTTTTTGGAGAGGTTTTTGCTATAGGGTGCATGCGCTCGCCAGACAGACAGAGACGGAGAGACAGAAAGCGAGAAATCACCCCCCAGGGGGGATGGTCACACTGCAATCCTTTCTCCATTCTCCTCTTGGGATCTTGGGCACGCACGCACACGTACCCAGCGTGAGTTTAAGCCACCGGGTCTGGGACTCGAACTGTGGTCAACTACGTGGGAGTCCAGCGACATAGCCATTACGCCAACTGCTGGTCCCTATAACAAATTATTCTAGCCCATTATTTAGTTTAAGTTTTGTTTGTTTCTTGCCACAGGGCACGTGCATTCACCAGAGACAGACAGAGACAATGAGAGAGAAAGTGAGAAATCACCTCCCCCCCCAAGGGGATGGTCACACTGCAGTCCTTTCCCTTCTGTTCTCCTCCTTGGATTTGGGGTACACACACACACACACACACACACACACCTGGCATGATTTTCAAGTCACCAGGTCTGGGGACTCGAATCATGGTCAGCCATGTGGGAGTCTAGTACCTTAACTACCACGCCTCCTGATGGCCCTGGTAGAACTCTTTTTTTTTTTTTTAAGAATATTTATTTAATTTTATTTATTATTACTACTTTTTAATTTGACCAGAGAGAGAAAGGGAAAGTGAGAAAGCAAGCTGCCAGATCTGGGACTCAAACCAGTCAACCAAGTGGGAGTCCAGCACCTTAACCATCTGCTGGCCCCAGAATTCTATCTGCTGGCCCCAGAATTCCTTTTATTTTTTGAGAGACTTTTGCCTTAGGGTGTGTGTGCTTGTCAGATAGAGACAGAGACACTAGAAGGGAAAGTGAGAAATCACTCCCCAGGGAGATGGCTACGCCATAGTCCCTTCTCCTCCATTCTCCTCCCAGGATCTTGGACAGTCACACACAGGCACCCAGTGTGATCTTCAAGCCAACAGTTTGGGACTTGAACTGCAGTTGGCCATGCGGGAGTCCAGCGATGTAACTACTACACTATCTGCTAGTCCCTAGGACTTTTTTTTTTTTTTAAGTTTTTTTTCCCATTTGTTCATGGTACTGTGTGTGAATGCGTGTATCAGAGAGCTAGAGGAGCATACTTCACAGGGTATGATTGTGCTATGCCCCCCTTCCTCTAGGCCTCCAGCCCATCACCTATGCACTTGTGCATGTGCCTGGCATGTTTCAGGCTGACAAGCTGGGGATTCAAACTACAGTCGCAATGTGGCATCCAATTTATCTTGAGCAGCACATGACTGCTGTGCCACGGAGTGGCCCCAAGCATATAACTCCTAACCTTGCAAATCTGATTATACATTTTTTTTTTTTTTTTGCTGCAGGGTACATGCACTTGCCAGAGAAAACAGGGGGGAAGATAAAGGGAAAATGACACCCCAGTAGGGACGGATCACACCACAATCATTTCTCCTCCATTCTTCTCTCAGGATTTGAGGCATGCACACACACGCTCCTAGCATGTTTTTTAAGCCACTGGGTCCAGGACTTGAACCATGCAGTCACCCATGTGGGAATAAGCCACCTTAGTC